ACAATTAAAAAAAGGAGAAAACCTTTGTGTTTTGTGATCGTTGCCACCATCGTCATTGCCGCTATTGACTCGATCGCAAATGTATAAATGATTTTTAAACACAAAAACCACAAATCCCCCTTTCGACGCTCGCGACACACCAAAAAATCACGTATGTACTCTTTTCTCTAGCTTGGTGGTAGGAAACCCTGTGCGGCACTTGCGGCGAGGTGGGTAAGCCTTGTGCACGCTTTTCTTAACGTGACATGGTAAACTTTAAGTGCCCGTGTACGTGCCTAAATGCCCGCAGGAAAAAAAACTACATTTTCGAATAGTTACCCCTGAAGACCCATGCATGTTTTTCTCTGGCATGGTGGGATCAAAGACCACGACTGTTGTGTCGTCTGACACCAACCATGCACGTCTTCCTCTAATGTGGTGGGCAGGTTAAGACTCAATAAATTTCTCCTAAATAGGGGAGACGTCGGAAGACTGTTAAACTTCAGACTTAAAATGCACAAAATTTAAAAAATTAATTCTAATTAATGGCCCTAATCATCAAAATGAAATTTATCATATCTACAAACAAATATAAGAAATTTGTCCAGAAAATATCATGCTTACTACCAATTTCGAACCTTTCGGTTGACTTGTGAAAGATGTTTATGCTACCTACACATATGAGAAGGAGCTTCTAACGAATATGACTTATCTACTAGCATGAATGAGGGAATTTGCAATATAGTGATATACTCGTAATGTAAGGGAGTTTATAATGAATGTAAACGAGTTACAAACAAGTGTCTGTAGATAATACATTATGAATGTATGAATTCATTGGAAAGCTCCTGATGAATGCATTAACTAACTAGAGGAATAGTATGTGTAAGGAATGTATATTGCAATAGCTCATTTACAAACAAACAATGTTGGAGGATTTTCATTGAATGCTATTCACCCGCCTGCGATATTCTTGCCCACAAGTTAACAAAATTCAACATTGCACGATGACTCTCCTACAAGAAATAATAAGCAACTCGCGGTGTAACACGACGACCATCCTACAGAAATGCATAACCAACAATGACAATAGGTGAACTGTGAATATAGTAGCCTTTATATGTTTAATAACAACTAGCTTGTTCAATGTCAGCCAGCTTGCTAATGTATACAGGAGTTGCGACGAACACTTAAAAACATGCAAGCGAACAGAACAATTCGCTAATTAACTTGCATAAGAAAATCAATGTGAATGCAACCTATCCGGCGGCCCAAATCAACATATGAATGAATACACTAATTTGCTTGCAAACAACAAAGCCTCTTGCAAATCTGCCCGGTGCGATTACGATGATTCCGAAGACACCCTCGCGGTCAATGCTAATCAAGCATCTAGCTAATGCACGAGTCTCCTACAAGCAAAGACGGATAATATGCAGCAAATGCAAACTCTTATGAACTCTTATAGGAAGCTCATCATGAAGCAGAAAATGATCCATAGTGGCACTTGCCAGCAATAATAGTCCGCCTATTTGCAATAGTTAGTGAATCATGAATACCTGTTGCTTTCCCGTAGATTATGTTAACAAGGCTTGCAGCGCATGACAGCTTGCCAGCGAGAAGCGGTTAGCAACCCGTAACACAATGCTACGACCCACTGACGTGCAAAACATATGATGAATGCAATCTGCTTGCATGCAATAGTAGGTGGTTGTTGGATATCCGCTGAGAACTTACAGATATATTCAACAAAGCTTACATTGCATAATGACTTGTATATAAGAAGCCACAAATAACCTGTAGTACAGCGCTACGACCCACCTACATGCAACGTTGAGAGATTCGCGCTGGACATAATGCAATAGCTGTTAGCCCTTGAATACACAGCGTTGAATCACAAGCAGCGTTAAATAAAGCTTGCAATGTATAATAGCTTGCTCACAAGAAGCAACAAATGACTCGCAGTTAAACGCTACGATTTACTTTCAAGCAAGAAGCAAAGAATTTTTAGTAAAAAAATTCTGAGCACAGATGGAAGGCTCTTGATGCATTATATAGTGTATTTGCTGGCAAAAATACACTCCTACGGGCTGAATATTGAAGAAAAAAATAGCTTGCATAAGATGAAACGAGACCCAACGCGCTGCTAAATAAAGTCACCTAATCCGCAACATTCATACAAGCAGACAGAAGGTGTTGACAAGCTCATAAATAGAAATTATGCATTTCCAAATGATCATCACCTGCATAACTAGTTATATTCAAATTTTGCAAAAACACCCTCATGCATTGAAGGGTGCATTGTCATGTTTAGAACACACATATACATTTTGAAAAGCTCTAAAAGACATGCAAAACATACAAATTTCAATACACGAGGTACACTATGCAAGCACATCATTCAAGATGCAATGCTACGCTGTGGAGACACATTGAATTAATATACAAAATGCATCGTGCATATACATATTGCAATATAGGAAATGTGTTACGTAAGCAATCTACCGAACATGTAAAATATGCTGCATAGCAGCATCGTGCTATTCTAACATGTAAATACATCAGTTACTACATATGAACACTGAATCATCATGTTAATGCATTGTGCAAGCAATGCTAACATGAAAACACATTAGACACTATATGTAAACATTGAACTATCATGCTAATGCATTGTGTAGGCAAGAAAGTAATGTATGAACATATTATACATACATATCATACGGTATTGTATTAAGCCACCATGTAACATGCAAAATATCACAAACTGCAACTAAATAATTCACAAATGCAAGATATATCATACATGCAAATATGTTGTGTACACTCGTTGCACTACATGCATACAACTACTATACAATTGCATCACATAAAATGCATGTAAACGTACACCTGCATGGCCCAAGATGAGTGTGATGTATGCGAGAAATTATTCTGTGCGGAAACCGGAAGCAGAATGTCGTCCGGAGACCAACCAGATGCACCACATCAGTGGTACCGAGCAAGGGGTGACATGGCACTTTCTGGTTGGTCTCTAGACGGCGTTCGATGTTCGCACAAAATAATTAATTGATGTACGCACACACATAATGTTTAAGGATGCTGTGTAAGTTAAGGAATGAATTTAAGTTCCAACCTGATCCTTCTATTTGAGTAGATATGAGTCGACACGGCTCGACCGTCAAACAAATGTACGGTCGTGACACCGACTGAGATATTTATTTATACGTTCATATTAGGCCATTAAGGTTTATAACAAAAAAATTTACTAATAAAGGCATAAAGCCGATGACGAACTCGATCCTCTGTCAGCAAGTAGACATAGTTGATAAGGTCCTACCAACAAAGTGAAATTTCCCATAAGTACCCCGATGACGACCTTGTTGACAGAAAATTTTAGTTGGAGGGGACCCCAAACATTTAAAAATGCCTCCCAAATCTTCACGAAAAATTCAAAATTCAAAAATCACCAAAACCTAAAATATTTAAAATTAAAATTAAAACAACTAAACACTCGGCAAGAAAATATCCATCCACCTCCGCAATAGTTTATCGAGGTAGATAAATATGAAAATAACTTGAGTTTACAAAGGGGAATTGTTTGGTTAAGAATATTACTAGATTCTTTCTCAAATCATCTTTTGCTAGTAAGGACGTGGCGTGTGACCTCTAACCGGTAGTTTTGCTACTAAATGGCACCACAGGTAAACGGTTATGACGAGGACTCTATGACTGGATGGTTCTATTGCCAAATGACACCACTAAATTGTGTTCATGGTTAGTGCCCGTGTGCTTTCCAACGACACTAAATCCTTAAGTAATGAATCAATCGGATATGACCGACAGGGCACAAAGCCTTTTGTTAATTAAGGTTGATTCAAATTTGTCCCCCCTAAATAAATATTCATCCCAGGTCTACATGGTACCTTTGGACAAAGCAACTCATGACTGCTAACAAGAATTCTTCTATCAAGTTAGGTCAACTACCTCCAATGACTAAGTAGACCATTGACCATATTGAACTGGGATGACAAAACTATGAGATCTCAATCAGGTCTATCATCACTCCCCCCCACCATCCGCTTTAAGTGTAAGGTGGTAAATTTCTAATTTTAAATATTAAATTTTCAAATACTAAATTATGTTGCTACTATAAACCGTTTACTACGTATTTGTTTGACGAGTAGCCTTAATCGAAAGTTTTCTCTCGTTATTAGGAGGGGTAATTAATTATAGGGGCTTGTGCCTATATGAAACTTGAACTCAGATCATAAAGTCCTCACAAAATGAGGGCGAATTTTCGGAGCCCACAAAGTTTTAAGTTCAATCAGCAAGTTGATGGAGATTTGAATACTTTATTCAAGTTGTGTATATGTTTTTAGGGCTGTGAGATCATGCATTGGTAATATTCTTGCTTCACTGTATCATTTCTCACTTATTGTCAAAAAAGAACTTCAGAAGTAATATTCCTGCTTACCAGAGCCCTACATGGGGTCTTGGTTGGGTACCCATTGGGTACCCATGCTCTGCACTGGCGGGCTTTGCCCACCCACACCCACCTATGGTGATTTTCCGGATGTCATACCCACCCACACCCACCCACTTTCCAAGCTTATTGAATGCAGTCTGCCATAGAATAATGGCCTTGAGGTTTTTTGTCATTTTCTTTGACTGCAAACTTTCAAGCCACATTTCAAAATTTATCATGATCGTGACGCGGTTAAGTGTTGCGCACTGTGTAGTAAGGATTATTATAATATACTGCATGTATATGATGATTAGTAATGTAAATTGGTTCTCCTCTGATGTTGAGTACCCACCCATACCCATCCACAAGGCTATGGGCGTACCCATACCCACCCATGCCCATTGGGTATGTGTGGGTACGTGGGTGGGTGTGGGTATGGGTACCCAATGCAGGGCTCTGCTGCTTACTACACTAGTGAATGTTCTTTGTTTTTTGAACTATATATTTCTTATCATTTATAATCAATCAATTAATCATTTGCACTGCTCAACAGGCTGAAGTGATAATGGCATTGGCTGGATCAACTGGAGGTTCATGGTCTACTACCTACTCTCAGAGGCCTGCTATGTCCCCTTCAGCCGGTGAAGTTAAAGTACATAGTGAAGAGATTGGAAGGCAGATCAGCAGTTTTCCTTTATCCATTCAAGTGAATCCTGAGCATGCGCTAAGCCAAGTTGATAGAACCACTCTTACAAGGGACATCCCAAGTCTCACAGCAGGTAACATTTTTCTCTATAACGGGAATCCAAAATCCATTTGAATTAATTACAAGAGAAAATATTCTAGAGAAATTTATTGAAAATTGAAGAACTATTCCCACGGCACAAGATGGAGTGCTAGTTTAAAATATATAGAGGCTTTGTAAAAGAATGCATAAGTAATATATTTGGTCAAAAGGACAATAAGTCTCATTTCCATATAACTGTCTTTCTTGGCAAATCATATTTTTCGTTATTTGAAGTGGTTATTTTGGTCCGCGTAACAGAGATTTTATTTCTGAATTTTCGAATTCATGAATTGCTCCATACACTTTTGGTCTCAGTTCCTATTTCTGTTTTTGGATCATCCTTTTTGGCTATCTAGGGGGTCAACAGAGTGGCGGAGTTTTCAGAGATGGAAGATTAGCGATTCAAGAACCCTCACCCAGTTCTGAAGGAAAGAGAGAAGAGAATTGAAGTTTTTTTTTTTTCCGGGTTAGTGTAGAATTTAAGGACATTTTCATCTTTTTTTTCTCTAAATTTTATAGGTTTCAGGTCAATGGAAGTTGTAAACATGCATTAGCCTGCAAGTTAAGCCCATCAATGGTTTTGTATGTGCTGCCCATTTTTTCGCCCAAAACGTTTACCCTTTTTTTATGGATATTTGTTAGTACATACCGTAATCTCTTCTTTCTGCGTAAGTACCAGAATTTATAAATCTAGTGCTTCTTGTGTGGAAAATGGCAGGATCTTGTTTGTTTTATTCTTAAATATTTGTTGCAAAATTTATTACCAATTTTTGTTGCACCACATGGGAGTTCAACACTAATTGGGATTTCCAATTCCATTTGTTCTAGTTAGTAAATTGGAAGAAATATTTCCCTTCCATCATTTTCAACAGTTAAGAAGTTCAGAATTGTGCCTGTATACTCATAAATACTTTCACAAATAGTTACTGGGTCATATAACAAGGATACTCTCTCTCAAAAGATGTTCCTTTAGATTACTCGTCTAGGACCATAAATATATATTGCCTAAGATTAGTGGGCTCTACTATCTTGAGCCTACTAAGGAGCACATTTTGCATTGGGGCAAATTGGAGATCCCTCGTGGTTACCTCTCACACTAGTACATAAAACGTGAAAAATGACGGGAACTAGCTTGTTTTATTCTTTAATATTTGTTGCAAAATTGAGTACCAAATTTTTTTTGCACTTTGGAATTCAACACTTATTTGGGATTTTTACCTCCATTTGTTCTAGTTTGTAAATTGGAAGAAATATTCCCCTTCCATCATGTTCAACTGTAAAGAAATGTGTTTGTATACTCATAAATGCCTTCACAAATAGTTATTGGGTCATAACAAGGATAGTCTTTCTCAAGACATTTTCCTTTGGAGTGCTCTTCTGGGATCATAAAAAATATTTTGCCTAAGATTAGTGGGCTCTACTCACTCGAGCATACTAAGAAGCTCATCTTGCATGAGGCAAATTGAATGTCCCTCGTCGTTACCTCTCACCCTTGTAAATAAAGTGTTAAAACTTGCAGGAACTTGCTTGTTTTATTCTTAATTATTTGTTGCAAAATTTAATACCAAAATTATTTTGCATTACTTTGTAGTTCAACGCTAACTTGGGGTTTCCACCTCCATTTGTTCTAGTTAGTAAATTGGAGGAAACATTCCCCTTCCATCATGTTCAACAATTAAGAAATGTGCATGTATACTCATATACTCATAAATTCCTTCAAAAGTTCTTATTGAGTCATAACAATGATACTCTCTCTTAGGAGGCATTCATTTGGAGCACTCTTCTGAAACAATAAAAGATATTTCACTTGGGATTAGTGGGCTCTACTCATTTGAGCCAACTGAGGAGCTCATCTAACAATGGACAAATTGGAGATCCCTCGTCGTTACCTCTCCATTGGCTCCACCCCCCAAGCTTAGTTATAGGAAGACGCCTTTTAAAACAATGCCTCGTGCTATTTAGCTAATACTATTATGCTTAAATCTCTGTTCCTGTAAGATTTCACTTACTTTTTTTCCTCTAGACAATCCGATATTTTCTAGACAAGACAAGTCATGTCCGACCATTCAATAGGACTCACTTGTAGACTCAATTGGAGCCTACTAATTGCCATTGAGCGTGTCCATAGAGAGCTCGCTAGTTGATTTCATCTTTCTCCAGCCTATCATGAGGCAACACATGTTTAGATTAACATGTAGCATTGTATGGGTGGTTTGTATAGTTTATATTCTTATATTATATATATATATATATATATATATAACTATTTCCGTAACCCCTAAAGCCCTATAAATAAAATATGTTGAGGAATAGTTGTGGGACTTGAATTTCTCTAATAGTGGATAGTCTATAATAGTTTGAGATTTATAGTTCTTTTATTGCTCCCTTAACTCTCTCTACACTTTCCATTTTTACATACAAGTTCTAAATCATTGCGTTGACTTGCTTGTAAAGTCGGGTATCATCCACGAAAAAATTTGGATTTAACATCTTCTTAGGCGTGGTGAGCGTGCATCGAAACCAATAATGAGATTGCATGCATAAGATGATGTGCAACTTCCATAATAGCCCTAAGTAAATATGGAGAACCTTGAATACACCATCTGTTACAACTTGCAGGAGATGGAAGAGCATATCACGAAGAAAATCGAAGATGCCTTGAGTTGCCTCTAGGGCTGAGTGTAAGTTGATAGCATTTCTGATGGATCTTCTGACTCAATATTTTGTTGATGGGGCCCAGACTGAGCATTCACTTCCATGCCAATGCTTGACTACACTTACACATGGATGAGTGACACATACTACATCTCATTGGCCTAGCGGACTAGAGGAGATAAGCTTGAGCTTAGTGTTTTTAGGGTAATTGCTGAGGCGAGGCTGCCTATGAAGTTCAAGGTACCTTGGAGTCTTACAAAGGCAAGATCAACCCTCAGTTATCATGTGACAACTTTAGAGTCAATGACTTTTTTATTAGGTCTGGATGACTCCCTAAGAGTCGGGTTCTCTTCAACACACTTAAGGAGTTGACACTCGGGTGTTTCACTAGCCTGCTTCTAGGAGTGATAATGTCTTTTGATGAATTTAAGCGAATATTTGTAACTTAATTTGCAAATGCCCAAAAGCCCTAAAAAAGCTTGCAAGCTCTATTGACGATGAAGTAGGAGCTAAGGGACTCACTAAGGAACTGAATAGTGAGGTTCCAAAGGGAGATGCTGAAAATGAAGGATTTGCAGCCTATCGCCTAGGCTGTGATGACCTAGGAACCGAGATATGTTCACTTTAGTTATACACAGGGTGTCCAATAGACGAAAACACTCGCCGAGCTATTGGAGATGGCCAACAATCATGTTAATACTGAAGAATTTGACAAGGTGGTTGAATTCTCCTCAACCACTTGTCCCATAAAATTGCCACAAAATGAGAGAAGTGATGAGGGAGAGATGGGGATGATTTTGTCCCATGTATAGGAGTGATCGGGACTTAATCCTTAACATTATCGTTATCACATAGAGAATTATAAGGGGTGTGTGACTCTAAGTCCCTCGAGGATGTTAAGGTCGCCAGCATCGAGGGTGGAAGAGCTCCCTCGTGCCACTCACTCTTATCATGAAGAAATCCCCCAACAACCTACCCTACGTACATTCCCCTGAGAGTGTCCATGGTTAAGTTAGTTGAAGCCATTCATAACAAGGTGTTATTCAAGCAACTTCCTCCTATAAAGGCAACCATGCAAGCTTATGATACCTCAAGATATTGCGTCTTCCATAAAGATCATGTCCACGACATAGAGGAGAGTTGCCACTCACAATCTTGTTGAAAGATCTCATCAAAGTAGCGGAGTTGAAGGAGTTCAAGCTCGTCAAACTAAGATGGCGACTTGACAAGGCATTCATGAAAAATGGTATGAATGAAACAATACATGCTCAGTATGCATTACTGGAGTAGTACCCGCCAAATTATGTGATGGGCGAGCATATGCACCAGCAAGTGTGAAGAAGATGCATGTTGAGGTGAACTTGACCTCCATTTCATAAACTTCAATAATGGACATCGCACCTACCAATTTCGGTGAAGCTGCTGACAATCCCGTTGTTTAATGGCATAGTAGTCATCACTGCCCTAGTCACCAACTATTAGATTAGAAGTATTATAAGAGACATGTGAAGTCCTTTGAACTTTACTTTCAAATTTATATTTGAAACAAAATAAAATTGCTTACTTCCTAGCTTACCCCCATTATAGGACCTCTCTATGACTTCCTAGGAGAGGGAAGGGAGATGGAAGTACTCACCCTACCTATCACTTAGCAAGAGGGAGAACATCAGTAAAAAAAAAGGCACTCTTTATCATCGTCGATGCCCTGATGACCTATAATGCCATCTTCAACTCAATTAATACAAAATTGATATATGATTATTATATTATGATATGATAATTTTAATTATGTATAAAAGATTGACATGACATACATAAACAATGACAGAACATGCTGATTGATATGAATTAATTAGTTACAACATGACTATCTATATTTGTGAACAAATTTTATGTTCTTTACCACATAATTTATTTTAAATATTTCTTTTGTTCAAATATGCATATATTAACATTATACAATCCTGAAAGATATACTAATATTTCATTATCAATTTAAAAAGAGAAACATCAAATTATTTTTATAATCAGACACATCATAAGGAATATTTAATTCATCTTGAAGGATAAAAAGAATATTCACTTATCATTTTAATTAAGAAAGTAAGGCACTGTATTTATTTTCATAATCAAACATAACAAAAGGAATATTCAATTCATTCTAAAGGATAAAAAAAGATTCACTTATGATTTTGATCATGAAACTAAAACAATATTTAAAGCTAAGTCTGCGTCCATATATTCTTCCCCTACCTTAGTAAGAAATTATGATAGGGCTTATTTTAATACTAGGTTCTAGACTTTCTATAAGGGTAAGCTCCTATAGTTAATAATATATGTGAACATAATACTCTTGAATAAAGTGAAGTCTAAAATTTTTCAAATTCATATAAATTTAAAATAAATACTTAGGCTATCAAGATTTCACTATATAGTCTTTAGATTGTAAGTCTTTAATTTGGATTTGAGAATTTAGATTTAGATATCAAATTTTAAAATTTTTGGTAGGATAGAACATAACGAATGTGCATAAAGTGAGAGATGTATACTATTTTTTTTTTTTTTTTACGCTTAGAGTGAGATGCTAGCTAACAATCCTAATCGCAATTGATGTCTCCTGAATATTTGAAACAAAATAATTTATGTGAACATAATACTCTTGAATAAAGTGAATAAAGTGAGAGATGTATACTATTTTTTTTTTTACGCTTAGAGTGAGATGCTAGCTAACAATCCTAATCGCAATTGATGTCTCCTGAATACAGGATTAAGTGATTCAATCCTAGGAACCAAAATAATTATAATTTAGAAGACTTTAATCAAGACTTTACAATATGTACATGATCTTGCAATAAAATAATGTATGAACAACAATGCATAAATAAAGAATTTTTATTCCTTTGTAATTTCTTAAAGTACAATTTAGGGTCTGCTTTAAGCCAGACTATACCAACAACAAGCCTGGATTTTTATTCATATACATTATATTGTTTATCCTATTTTTGAATGAGGTCAATTCCACTTAATCAAACACCAATCCTTAGACCTAAATCATTAAAATACATTTCAAAATTTAAAT